AACACAGCTTGCTGCCGATGTGTGACAAGCCTTTAACATTCACAATATGATTTCCAATTAACATGCGCAGCGTTTGCTACGCATTTCACAGTCAACATAACAACACGAAATAAAACAGCCACTACATTGCACATTTACCTCGCTAGAATACACTGAACAACATACTCATTCCATTGATAGCCAATGTTTCTTCATAGTGAATGACCGAGACTAAACAGCATCGACTCACAGTGCCGATCTACTAACAGATACAGATATATCGCTCTAGAACACTTGCACATGAACTGACGTATGACAATGATCTATTCCTTTCATGATAGTCATAATGAATATCTGTCCATTGATATTGGGGTTTCAGAGACTAAACATCAAGCTTGTGTGGTTTCAAGTAATGTTGGATTATTCAGAGCGCCCGCTGAAATGCTTTGGAATTATTAGGCATGAAGACATATATTTTTAAAGTTTTATTTCAATGAGTGTGAAACGTATGCATGGTAATAATTGATTAACACGGACCTATTTCCAAACTATGTCTTACCCAACTAATTTCTCAGTAAATTCTCTATGATGTTTGAAATGTAGCTTGTGTCTGCTTCCTTGCAGTTGTTTATCATTGAGCACCAGTATGTTTGCAGTTTGGACCTATACATATTTTGACATGTTTGAAGGGGTATATCTTTTATGCAGACATCTTGGGAAGGAAATAAATTTGTTTTTATTACTGTGTCGATAACGCATAACATTTATTTATGAAATACTCAATTCATTCACGTTCATTATCATATTTTGTTGAAGAACAAACGCAATTATATATATTCAGTGTTATTTTAAACAGAACGAAAGACATTTACTAACAGACTTGATGGATATGATAAAAAGCGATTACCTGATCAACAATCTGTTATTATATCGATACGTTGCATGTGGATATTCCGTGAGTTGGAAAATGTCATTTTGCCAAACTTATACCTCCTACCTTATGAGAGGAAACACAAATGCTGTTTCTCAATACATTTGTCCATGATTGTTTGAATTTCACAGTAATAACCATGCTAACCTACCAATTTTATCATCATGAACAAATAAACTGAGCTTCTTCATCGACAATATCTTAAACGTGAAATTACTGTACTTCATTTTACAATAGCTAAACGGAGCCCACAGATATAAATCTACGATTTAGAAAGATGTGAAATGCGTTGAGTGTTTGTGTGTTAATACCAAAAGTAAATTAGATATAACATAACGACAAGGTTTTAGTGATTTCATATGTTAGTCAAAGTGAAGCAAAGAAACCACCAGCAGTTCGAAGTATGTCGAACTAACAATTTCATTGATTATCATAATTAGGTTAGTCTGTATATATAAATATATATATATGTATATATATATATATATATATATATATATATATATATTTGTCTATTTATATATTTATTCATGTTTATATTTCAAAATATCTCACACGGACTAAAACGGATTAGATAATTATACAACACACCTAACAATGAGTGAAACGCAACTAACGTGCCCTTCTTTATTGCGGTTTTCGGGACGTTCATCACACTGTGACTTCTAATCATTGTAGTTGATATATCTGGCAAGTAAAAAAAATCGTTTGTACACTAATCACATATAACCAAATGAATCATTTAGTGCATCAACTTAGTGAATATCTAACACAATGAATGTAATTCACCCAGATTTAAGCTATTTATTCCCTAACACCTCATCACTATATTTTGCAGTGTGAACTAGCTCAATAAAGTAAAAAATAATTTAAATCAAGCAGCTAATTAACTACTCTACCCACTATACACAATAACTAAAAAAACATTTGATGCACTGAAGAGAGTTATTCATATTTCGAAGGTTTGCAACTATTAATGTGCCGATTAAAAAACAGTCAGTCAGACAGTCAAATGATCAGGCGAACGAGTTTTGAACCTAGGTTGACAAAGTCAAGGTCTCTACTAAAAAGCACTTCCTGATTTTGGCGTCATGTGGAACATCAGTTTATTTCGTTAAATTTTTGTTTCTTCAAATAAATGCAAATGTTCAGTGTCCAATAAACATAGAATATATATCACAAGTACGTTTTTCCTTATCGAATTAGTGAGATCAAAGTAGATTGTTTCGAATGTGGTGAACACTGAAAACTGAAGTCAACGGTGCTGTAGTCGAATATTGGAGTAATCATGTAGTCCGAATAACACCTCATCTCGTAAGTGAATGATTTCAAAATGCTCAACGTTCAAATGTTCTTTTTCAAACGATATTTCGCCACTAAATTAACCATTTCTACTTTATCAGTGATTTGTTATTGAAAACCGAGCGGTCATTCGCAGTGACTATAAAAGTGACCACTAACTGTTCATTCATGGGATTGTACACTGAAACAATAATAGAATCTTTGAAATGTTTCTTACTTTGTTGTTTTCGAATGCAGCTAAATTCATGGTATATCTTTGAACTGACTCGACTTTGAAAGGCTTGATCAGGTATCTGAAATGCGGTTTTGCCAACAATGGTTCGGACACATCAATGTAAATCTCACTACAACAAATGAATTTCTCCTAAAATGTGTTGAATATACTCGACAGGGGGCGTGATAAAGACTGAACGCAGATTTCGTTTTTAATAAAATAAATTTACTAACATACAAGGTTTGTCAAATCAACTCCAGAAAACGGTCTTTTCTGCAGGAGATTAATTATTCAACTGCTTGCAATAAGTTATTCATTGTGACCTTGTGTCTTTGCTTACTACTATATCTCTGCGAAACGACTGACGATATATATTTCATCACAGAACTTCAATTTGTATAAACATTTTTCAGTGTGTTATACCAAATCATATTACTTATTACTAACAGAATACTTACAAAATGACACTTCGCCATGCACTGTACTAACTTTTACGTTTTAGCGACAAGCGTTTCATCTTATTCATTTGACACAAGTGAGTGAATATGGTGTTTCTCACTTTGAGTGATTTATGTTGACTTTCGGATAGTTTAGGATACAAATATCAGTGATTGTCAATGCTAAATTTTCTTCAGGTTAATGTTTTACTGAGGCATTTAACTCACCGATTCATAATGAAAAAAGAAAGCTCCGGACCGAGTGATATGGCAGCGTATTTCGTCTTTATGATGAAATCATCCATTATATAAATGAAGCATATAAGTAAAAAGTATTAGGTGATATACATGTGTCAACTGTAATGTAAACAGGTTGAAAAAATATTGTTCTTCATTATCATAGTATTAAAAACAATTTAAAGTTAGATAGTGAAAGAAAGAAAACATTATTTAAAGTTTTGAATGTAATTGAAACGAGAGAGTTCAACGGAAAATTCATTGTCAAATTAACATAGTTTAAATGAAATTATGCGATGCTATTACTTACACTGATTGATCCCACTTTGAAAGTTTTTACGAATCCATCTGATATGGATTGAATTACCTTATAAAATCGAATTAAATTGAATCAGACATACATGTGAACACATACGGTACAAGCTAGAATAAACATCACGATGAAATGTTATTTACATACTCTTATTCAGTAGAAATGGTATAGATTAAAACTGCATCAACTTCTACAATCATCTTGCAATCTAATTGACGTAAAAATATGCTGCTCATTCATACTTAACTTTGACAATTTCTAAGTAATCTGAGCCTAAGCTATCCAGTTTTATCTTACTGACGAACTAGCTAAATTTCCTATTACTGAAAAATATTTACTGAGGTTTGGAAAAACTGCTTCAAGATTTTCATATCAATTAGTTGTAGGAAATGTGAAACATCAGTCACAACAAAATGTCAAATACATTTTCTTCCATCTGATTCTTCTCATCAAGTGTGTTCATGATAACTTCGAAAAAGACACTTATTCGATCATTCGCCGAACATTAGTGATTGAAAATCTACATCGCTGTTTCCGCGCCAGCGAGAAATATTTTTTTAAATTAGTAGACATTCTTAATCCGGATCAATCTAATCATTAACTTCGAGCGTAGGGAGAGAGTTTACTGTATAAATGGTAATAAGAAGTGCGAATAATTAGACTTATGACAGAGATACTCACTATCGTACGCGATCTCTGTCAAAAACCGTGCTTGGTGCTCATCTGAATAAGGAACCAGTACTACTGAATCTTGTGCATGTGGTAAAATGATATAACCTATTTTCAAATGTTCAAAAAAAGACAAATTAATTTGTATCACATAGATTACTTATAAAAAATGATCCATGATGAGGAATCAAAAATCTTTTTCGTCACTGTCAACAGACTACTCTTTCTTCTGTCGTACGCTCATCGTTGTTCTTATAAATTTATTGCCACGAAATTAACCTGTATTCAAGTGGTTACTTGAAATCCTTATCACTTTGTAGAATGAGCGGTGTTTGAATTACAGATATTCTTCGATCGTCCAAACGCTGCTACTGCTCATCCATGTTTCTAAAGCTGCATCTATTACTTCTTCCACACCAAAATTCTTGCTCAGTGATGTTATTTTTTTTCTCAACATTTGAAAATTCTCCGACGTAACTGGTCAAATGATGCATGATGTTTTATGTCTGAACATCCTTCTATTTTGCTTATGAATGCTGGAACTACTTCAACAGGCGTTTACATTACACTACTGCTTTTCACATGCGTCAGAGTTATCTACTGAATCGTTCTCATAAAATTTAGTGCAGGTGCGCGTTTTTAAATTTAACGTTCCACTAAAATTATCGACTTTGTCTACAATAGCTTTCGACGCGTCATATTGTAAAAAAAGATTCTGTCATTTATGACCCAGTTAAAAGAAAACCTCCATGATGAAATGTATATATATATATATATGTATATTGTTTACTAATTCCATCTGTTTGCTAACTGAACACGTCAGACCACCTTCTATGATCCACTTGAAAGGGGACTACTTGAACTACCTGACACACGACATGATCTCAGTTCTGTGATACTTCAATTTAGTACATTTCTCCGGAAGCAACAAGAGTTTTCACATTCTTCGCATACGATATTTTTTACATGAAAGGTCAAAAATGGTAAAACACTGACATAATGACTTAATAACAATTATCAACGATGAAACCAAGCCTTACAATAATCAACTATGATACGCCTAAAATATGTATCTCACCATCTCGAAACACCTGCAGCATACTGTAGTTTGCACCGTAAAATGTGATATTAAATGGTGATTTAAATTCCTAAAAGATGCAAAATGTCAGTAATATTTGTTGCAAAATTCACAAAATTACCTCGAAAACTTTATTTATGGATCTGAGTTTCCTACATGATTTTTTACCAGGGCGATTGGGAAAGAGGAACATCATATAATAGTAGCCTTCATACTTTCAGAACGAATTAGGAATGGACTTGATAATTACCCAAGTTATGTCTTGAACGCCAGGAGCAAGAAGTTTAAACTCATTAAAGTTGACTGTGTTAGATTTCTGACAAACGTTTTCGCATTGTAAGTAGGCAGGAAAAAATATTGCAACCAGACAAATGAGCATCAATCGATTGAGGAACATTCTTTTCCTGAAACGACAATAATAGAAATTTGTAAGAGATACTCAGGTTGAAGTTTGGAAGTCGCACACGCCAGTGACAAATTATTAAACGACACTCACTTTTAATCTGTTTAAATTAATCTATAAGCGATTTCACTTATATAGATTTATCTGGAAAAACATTCCGATTGGATGACTGATGTTGACCAGTGAGAAACATTGAATATGATTACATCGTGTATGAATGGCTGAACGAATTCGTTATTATATATTTGCGCCTGCCCTTGAGATAAGATTGGCTGCATTGTGAAAGCTGTTAACTTCTCCACAAAGCAAGTGTCTACAGTTAAACGCGTCATCCTTACTTCTAAAGCCTGGAATTGACAACGATTTAGAAAATCTTATCGCAATCTTACTCTTCTCTTGAAACTAATTATCGAAGTTACTGAACATTCCGTGATATATTTTTTTAAGTGAATATGAAAATTCAGAAATGCAGACAGTTGAAAAATTGGTTGCACACAATCACAGTTCAGCGAATGTTGTTTTGATCAGGAAAATTCTCTTGTAATTCGCCGCACATTATAGAAAATCCCACAGATCTCCGAAATACCGTTTAGAATAACTGCCTAATTATTTTTCAAATTTCATCAAATTTTCTATCCCTCTAATGAGAATCATTTCGTTATTATATCAGAAATCATGGATCAAATGTCTCTTATCACACTGATGTGAATTATTGCAGTTAATTTAGATTGAGAGAAGTACCATATCAGCGTACAAGCTATAAGCACTGTACATTCACGCACATCAATCAGGAGTCATCGCATACTTAAGAGACCAACGGAAAGCAGCGTTGGATGAAGAAACAATTCAAACCTGAGAAATTGTTTCTACTTTCAGTTTTTGTACTGGAAGATACTGTTTGGAAATATTCAGTCTCAATATTTACTGATTTTTACAACTTTGGTGATTGTGTATATTACTGTGTTCATCATGTTGTTTTCAGTCAATGTTTACTGAACCGTGAAGAGTTTAACGTTTTGTCATGACGTATGATGTTCAACGTCTCCAGCTACATTGTACAACTTGATACGTACATACGTCATTTTATGTTCTCTGACAACACGAGACTGTTATCAAATGAACAGAAAAGTATTAACAGTATTTGCAGGATAAGAGTTTGCAGATTTGACTGGAAAAATAATTTCAGGTCGCATCAAATTTAAAAGCGAATGAACGATCATAGGGAATAAAAAGTAATCATTGCCATCTCAGCTTTGATCATTATGTTTGCAAGCGTCTATGTGTGTAACTGGTAGCCAGCAAACATAATTCATACCTGCCTGAATAGAATGTGAGGTGAATAATCTAGATTAACAGGATAATAAAGATTACTTATTGGAGGTTTCAGGAAGAGTTTTGGAAAGCGCCTACTTTGAGTAATAAACTACAATATATATTGTGTATAGATTGTGTTCAGACTGGTTGCAGAACACAAGTAATCAGACGGACACATCCCATTTCTGGCTGCAGTATTGGGTGAAAATATCGATTTTAAAAGTGATTCAATTACGTCAATATATTTACATGAGAACGAAGAGAATTGTATATTCTTGTATTCTCTTGGGAGCACCTTTGTACGGTAGGCAGCAAAAACATTCTGTCATATATTTGACCTTGTACTACATCAAGAAGTATACAACAGAGCCGTATAACATGGTGTGCTCATCGTCTTATGCACGATGGCAGATTCTTATAGGGCCTCACTTATTCAAGCCGTCTGAGAGTTCCAGAGGCGTATTGGTGACGACACACTAACAGGTTAATTGTCTCAATGTAAAATAGGCACCGTGAGAACTGAGATCAGGATAATCAAATAAAACCGTTGTGTAGACGAATATATTGTTAAGCAAACAAAAAGTATTGTGTCGAGCATTGAAAATAGAACGTACTCATCAAATTTGATAACGGATATTATTTCTGAGTTCACCGAATTTTCGTTAAACATCGTACGTGCATTTGGAAGGTAAATAACCATAATATGTATGACAATAAGTTATATATAAAAGAATATTTTGAAAGGAAAACATATTTAGGAAGAGAAATGTTCGAAAACAGGCGGGAATCCTATGCTCTATTGAGTGAAACAGTCGTGCGTTAGTAAGTAAGGTAGCCAGCAAACATTATTTATAACCGCCTGAATGAAACTTGAGATAAATATGTATGTATATCTGCAGCACTGGGTGAAAATGGTGATTTCGTAAGGTAGGCAGTAGGAGTAGGGTCACATAATTCGACTTACTTTTTGACGACTGAACCTCTTGCGACTTGAGTCAGTAGGTAAAAAGTAACCGAGCCGTGTATCTCGGTTTCTACAACTTCGCGTGCAGAGTAGGAGCTCCTTTCATGTTCTGCGATATTCAAGCTATCTGACTCTCCTACACATATAAAAATGATGAAACAATAAATGTGTGATTATCTTAATGAAAATAAGCAACCTGTAGACTTCGTTCAAGATAATCAGGTGTAGCGGTTCGGCACAGAAAGGAATGGTGTACCAGAAAACAGGGAATTGTGTGATGACCATGATGGCGATTCTAGCAATTATAATAATCGCGTTTTCAGAATGCACTCTACATGGCATCCATTTGAGGGATTAAATTTGAACGCCCAGTAAAGAGAATAGAATGTTCAGTAAATATCGAGGGTCACTGAAATCGCTGTGCTTCAATTGACTTCATGTCGAAAAATTATCTACACAAGAACGCGTTATCCTCACTTGGTTGATATGAAGCTCATGACAATTTTCATCATCATAGAGAACTGTAACACTCCTTCTGCCACTAATTATCAAGTCAGAAAATTTTCAGTTAATTTCACGTTGAAAAAAACACGAAAAATTCCATTCAAATTACGTGAGGTGAGATTGAACCTTGAAAACTTACTCAGTCTAGACTGTCACAATATGACTGAATGAATATGACTGCCCTATATTCAATGTGAGCTCAGTTATAAATTAGGTGCGTTGTGTGTAGCATAATGTGTGACTTTGCACACAAATTAGAATCTCATTCTTGTGAGTATCATAGTATTTAAGATTTTTTTCAGCTCATGAAATGGTGCAGTCCAAGTGATCTTGCCAAACCTACAAAGTCATACTTCAGTAAGCACCTCGAAAAAGAATCGGAGAACACATAGTTCACAAACATATAATCGATGTGCCACCAATAAAAGCTTTCAATAGCGCTTTCTCACTTTTTGCTCAATGCGGAAATTGTGTTAGTTCATTATAACTGATTCCTGGAATATACTCATTGGCCTTTCAAATTGCCTGGCGATAGACTGTGAAAGCTGAGTAAACTGAATCCATGTATTCGGTATCTCATTAAGCTACTTTGTTTAAGTTCTCCTTGATGATAAAAATCGTCATGAATATCAAATTAAGGAAGTGGGAATAACGTGCACTTCTGGAGATACTGAAGAAATAAAAGACCAGAAGAAATACAAGATGTCACACTATATATCAGCTTGGTCATCACCGTACTCGAAGAAGCCACTGTTCTCAAGAGATTGTATATTCATGGCCTTCTGATGATTTCCTATTTGAAACGACGAAACGGCATTGAATGTTTGATTGAGTGAAGTGTTTGAAGGTCGGCAATGCTCTAAGAAGATTGTATCAGTCAATGAAACGACACAAGTTGGACCAAAGATTCTAATTTGTTGACGATTATTTGGATTCAGTTTACTCAGTTTCCGTAATCTATCGTCAGTGAGTGTGATAACCAAACGAGAAGAATATGTACACCATCGGATAGACAGTGCCTAAATCCCTTCGCGCTAATGTGCCGAGACGGTTCAATCTGGCTCATCCAGGAAAGGAATGCAGTAAAGAGTTGTGCCGAAATCTCAAAGCGGTGTTTGATTCACAAGAAATCTGTCGCTGGATAATTATCAAAATGAAATTTTTCAATATGAAATATCCTGTGCTGATAATCATCTATACAAGTTAGGCAAACCGATATGTTTCCTTGCTTATGACAGTAGCAAAAACGACTTTGTGTACCGAGAAACACTTATCGTTTGGGGAAGTCAGTGTTGCTTAGGAAAGATTGCATCAATCAATGAAACCGCTACAAAATTTACCGAGTTTTCTGATTTGATTTAATATGTGTTTCTCGTTAGACAAAGTCGTTTTTGCTCCTGTCATAAACAGGGAAACAGATCGGTTTGCGTAACTTTTATAGATGATTATCATCATAGGATATTTCATATTGAAAATTTTAATTTCGATAATTTTCCAGCGAGTGATTTATTTTGAATCAAGCTGCGCTTTGACATTTTGCTCCATGAAAAGCTATTATGCATGACTCAGTTTTCTACGAATTTCAAACTTGTTGGCAGGCATATCTTCATATTTAGCCACCACCTAACCTTACATCATCCATGCTATAACTGTTGTCACTGCCACTGGACACATATTCGTAGATGTACTCAAGGCTAAATACGAATGTGCAGCACTGTCTGACTCTGAGTGAACACCCCCTTTACTTGCTGGGTCACTTTTATCCATTACTACAGCATTATGAATCTCAGTGAAACAAGTTGCAGTAGTATTCAGACATATTGTTCGCGCAGCTGTTCAAATTGATGTGTCGTCATTCACGCTTGCTGTGTCAAGATCGAATTTTTGTCATGGCAAATAATCTCGCATACGTTAAGGTTTCCACGCATTAGCTTCGTTCAATACAGTTCAACCTATTTGATCTTGGTTGGTTTAATTCATTACCTACTTGCTTGAACCGAGATCGCTATTCCTTAAACTCACATTTCGAAAATTCAGATGACGTCTGCCCTTACGTTTTTCAGAATCGTCCTTATGCCTTACCCTTTGCCATTCTCCCATCATCGCTCTCTTCTAAATAGCCACCTTGTCTTCGGCAGATCCTGATTTGTCAGCAGAATTGATATCAGCAAGCTCTACATTTTGAGACTTTGACATTTTGATCCATGAAAGGTCATTATGCAAGACTCCTGACTTCATTCGTTTCACCCTCGGACGA